TTGTCTCTCTTTTTTTATTTTATTTTCTCTTTTCTTGATTCACTCGTTTCTCTCTCCCTCTTTTTTTTTTTCCTGTTTCTCCTTTATTTTCTTGATTTCTCCCCTTTTTTTTCTTTTCTTTTTTTTTATCCTTGTTTTTTTGTTAAACCTAAAATTTATAGAATAAATTATTTTTATTTAAAAAAAACTCATTTTTTATTAAAAAAATTTAAAAGGTGTTTATTAATTTTATTATTATTGTACTTGTATAAGAATTAATGATTTTTTATTTTATTTTAGACATATAATAAATAAATAAAATTATATATATTAAACGTGTCCCTAACGTGTCATGTCCCCTATTTTTTTGAAAATTGCATGTTCACGTGTCTGTGTCGTGTCATGTCGGTGTTCGTGTTCGTGTCCGTGTCTGTGCATCATAGACTGTCATAATTTCATGTGTAAGGACCAAAATGGTATTTGATCAGAAGTATAGAGGGTTGACTGTCATGATTTCATGTGTAGGGGTCAAAGTGAAATTTGGTGCAAAGTACAGGGGCGCAAAGTGTAATTTATCCATAATGAAATTATATTTTGGCATAATTTGTGTGTTCTAAGTCAAAAAACCACTAACTATGGCGTAATAGAACTACAACATTACATGACAAATCAACAAAAATACGTAACAATACCATTAATATTCATAAAAGTTTTAAAAAAAAAAAATTTAAAAACCATTAAAATACAGAGCGGATCATTAAGTGTTGTAACCAAAGTTTTAAAAAGCGGCCGCAGCCGTTACATAACGCCGTTACGTAACAGTTTTGGCGGTTACCGCCACCCCTTACGGCCACTTTTGCAGTGCGATTGAGATTCACAGGTGTGTCGGCCGTAGCGGTCGTAACGGTGCCGTAACAGCCATAATGGCCTATTACGCACCATTACGTAACGGTTCCAAACTATTTCTTTCGAAAAAACACAAAAAAAAAAACAGAAAATGGGGGAAGAGGGCTAGAGAGAAGAGGGAAGATAAAAGAGAAAATAGAGGAGCAAGAGATAGAGAGAGAAAAGGGAGGATGAAGAACACGTTATTGATTTGTTGAAACTATAAGACCGATGCTATTCTATTCAGCTGCTATCACTAAATCATTTTGTTTGTGTGTGTCTATCTATATATTGTTTGAAAATAATAATAATAATAAATGTGGTCATTATCTATTTGGCTTGGTTAAAATATGTATATATATATATATATATATTTAGGCTCTTATTTATTCTCTTACTTTTGTCATTATTTATCTAATATATAATAGTTAGTGATTAATGTTTTGTAATATATAAAATCATTAATTATTAAAATAAAATGTAAAAAACTCATGATTTAAAGTATGAAATATATTGGATCATACTTAAAAATTTTCAAAAATTGATCAATATTTATATTTAACCCAATAAATATGATCATGGAAAAAAAATATACGTATCGGTAAATTTTTTTCAAATTGTGCGAAAAATAAAAAAATTCACAGTTCTGGTTACCACAACCGTTACACTACGGCCTTTACATCCCACAACCGCAACCGCGTCACCGCCATCGTTACGGCGACCACAACCGCTGTTCAGAATCTTGGTTGTAACTCACCATAATCATAAATAGTGAACTATACTTTAGCAGAACTTGTGTTTTAACTCAAAAAACCAATAGCTATGGCGTAATAGAACTACAAAACTACGTAACAAATCAACAAAAATACATAATGCTACCATCAATATTTGTAAAAGTTAAAAAAATTAGGAAAAAAACCATTAAAGTACGTAGCGAATCATTAAGTATCATAACTCACCATAATCGTAAATAATGAACTATACTTTGGCATAATTTGGGCATTTTACATCAAAAAATCACTAGTTATGGCGTAATAAAACTACAAAATTGCATAATAAATTTACAAAAATACGTAACGCTACCATTAATGTTCGCAAAAGCTAAAAAAATTAGAAAAAAAAAAACTACTAAAGTACGTAGTGTATCATTAAGTATCGTAACTCACCATAATCATAAATAATGAACTACACTTTGGCATAATTTGTGCATTTTATATCAATAAATCACTAGTTATGGCATAATAGAACTACAAAATTCCGTAACGAATCCACAAAAATACATAACACTACCATTAATATTCGTAAATGTTAAAAAAATAGGAAAAAAAAAAACCATTAAAATACGTAGCGGATCATTAAGTATCGTAACTCACCGTAATCATAAAATGCTTATGTGAGATCCCCAAATGTGAGATCTTGTTAAATAACATACGCGAATCTTTTAAAGCTTGCATACTTTCTGCTAGGGACAAGCCAATCTTGACCATGTTAGAAAGAATTAGAACTTATTTGATGGATAGAATGGTAAAGAGAACATGTTCACAAACATGCAGGATAACCTAGGCTCTAACATACACAAAATATTGGAGAAGAATAAGAATGGGGCATCTACATGTATCAAAAGCCCTAGCTGGAGGTAGAAAATTTGAAGCTAGAGGAATGCATGGTAATCAATTTGTAGTGGACCTAAATATGAAGACATGTTCTTGCAAAAGATGGGATCTGACTGGGATCCCTTGTGAACATGCTATTTCTGTGATTTGGGCTTCTGTGGAAGAGCCTGAGGAATATGTACATGATTGGTACAAGAAGAATACTATTTTGAAATTATACGGCTGTATTATGTATCCAATGAATGGTCCTAAGATGTGGGAGAAGTCAGGAAAAGGCACCATTGAGCCTCCAAAGTATTCGAGACCACCTGGAAGGCCCAACAAAGTGAGAAGAAGGGAACTAGATGAGGCTTCGAAGAATACTCACAAGCTAAGGAAGTTTCAAAAGGCATTGAACTGCAGAAAATGTGGACAAAAAGGACACCAACACTAGGACTTGTAAAGCACAAATGCAGAACAATGTAAGGGCCTTCAAACATATTGCTTAGAGTCTGTGGTGTTTTCTTATTGTTGCTTACTTACATCCAGTGTTTTAAAAGGTGCGCACATGAGGCACGACGAGGCGCAGCCTTGCGCTTTGAATAGGTCGAGGCAAGGTGCAATATATAAGGCGCAGCTTAGGCACTAAGGTGAGGGCTTTTTTTTCGAGGCGCGGGCTTCACGGGCTTTACTTATTTTTCTACCCCAACTGTTAATTAAGTGCTTTTTATTTCTTTTTTGAACTGCAAACTAGAAGGTTAGTTGTTTTGAATTTTATGTGGATTATCTTAAAACTTGAGGTTTTTTATGGATGTGAATGTGATACTTCACATCTTTTGTTGGATATTATATTTCTAGTTTTTAGAAAATTGAATGCTAAGTTAATCAATTATTTGAAATGGTGAAGCTTGCTTTATTATTTTTGGAGTTCTATATATATTTGTTATGTTGAAAAATTTGCCTATTTTATAATTTTGGTTTTCTTCTACTACTTGTGCCACACGTTTCGCCTCGCCTTGCGCTTAGGTTGTAGGAGACCTTATCGCCTCGGTGCGCCTAGCGCCTTTTAAAACACTGCTTAAATCACCTTATGCAGGAGTAACAAAGGAAGTGGAGGAAGACCAAGGCCCCTTGTACTGAAGAGTGATACAGGTGCTGAGGGAAAACAAGGGCCATCTACAGGCCAGCAACATCAGCCATTAGGCCAATATACCTATCGGGCCGCCATCATCTTCTAAACCATTCAACATGACAAGGGAAATGCATATTAGCTCACCTCCACCATTCAGCTCTCCAAGGCCAGGGGCCATTAGGCCACTTGTGCCATTCAACACTCCAAGAATTTGAAAAATTGTCGTAATCAAGTTATAGGAATGGCTTTTTTGTTTAATGAAGTGATCATTTTTGTTTAATACACTTAATGAATTTTGATTGTCATGGGAATTGCTTCTCTATTTAAGGGTGGAAGAAGTGATGGGAAGTACTGATGGTGAATGAAGTGAAGTGATGACTTTTTCTAATGGAACTAGCTTTAGCATAAACTTAATGTTATATGAAGTGATGACTTCTAGATGTTTGCTACCTTTGTTAGATGTAAAAAAAATATGTTTGATTGTTTTCCTTATCAATCAAAATTTTAATTAGGATTATAAAGAATGATAAGAGCTTTTGGCAACAGATGTTATGTTTACTGCTTAGACCTACTGCCATTGTAGGGACAGAGAGTATGAACAAGTAGAGCCCCTGTTTCTATTGATGATAGCAACAAAATAACAATCAATTACTGTTTTTTTCTTAAAACATAATTGTCAAATTCTTTTTTATCAACACTAGACAATTACTGGCAGTTGATCAATTTACAATACTAAACAAGTTTCATATGGGACAAATTTTATAATGTTTACTCACAGTGGATGTTGTGGGTTCAAGCCTATGTGGAGTGTTGAGGTGATTCCCTTTTCTTTTTCTTTTCCAACATTTTTAGACTAAATCCTAGCAAAAAAACAAAAAAAGTCCTAACGGAACAGGTTTTACTACAAAAATAACGCCTCACTCTAGTGCTCTGTTTTTCCTTACTAGATGTTGCAGATATATAGCTGTATGCAGTGACAGAGCCAGGGAAGAATTTTAGGAGGGGCAAGTATACTAATCACAATAGCAAGAAAAAAAATCATAAACAAGAACTTAATACTTTGCCACAGCAACGAACTAATATAAAGTTTCTAATATAAACTTATATTTCATTAACAAAATCACAAATAGTACCAAGTTTCTAATATAAATGTATTCACTAAAAAAAACCATCAATAATGCATCAAGAAACAAAAACAGAAGAGGGGGAAAAAATTAGAACAGGGCAGATTGATCATCAAAAAATTTTCAGCCCTAATCAGATAACCTAATCAAGCCATCACAAATCCATCTCCCAGAAGTTAAGAAAATACTACAAATCAACAGATAAAGTAGACATCAACCAAGAATAAGACCCAAAAAAGGAAAAACCCTCAGTTCATGATCACAATCAGAAAGAGAAAAGAGACTTACAGTTACAGATTGGAAGTTGAATCGAACTTGTTGATGGCAGTCAATGATCTTCAATCTTCAATAGCTATTCTTCATCGTTGATACTTTGATCGTCAATTACTGATTTAGGCAACTTGGAGAGAGAAACAGTGGGAAATTGGGAAGAAAAATAGAGAGCAGAAAAAAATGTGGCTGTGTTTTTAAGTTTTTTTATTTTTTACTTTTGAACGAGTTGTGTTTTGCAGTAGTAAATGGTTAAAGTACAATAAAAAAATAAGGCTGGGTTTAAGAGCAAGAGAGTGAGAAAGAAGAGGGTGGGCATAGTAAAACATAG